GACTGTAGCGGACTCTAACTGCCTAGCAATTTTATGCTCAATTTAGTTAGTTTAAGCAAAAAGTTGTCATAGATTCAGTATTTTGATTGTGCTTGAAGTTATCAGTAGGGATCACAACTAAGATGCTGCTTAGGCGTGCAGTGGTAGAGGAAACCAAATCAGGTGCAGTACAGGAAATGTACCAATGGGAAATGTTTTGCAGGGTTGCCAAGATCAATGATTTTCAGCTTTCAAATTTTCTTCACTTTTTTTCTTCAATTCATTTATAGCAATCAAAGAACACGGTTCTTTTTCTTGTCGTTCCACCATTTATAAGGTGGTGACGGAATTCTGTTAGAGATATTCTTTTTCTCTTTTTTTTCCTGGTCCTGATTAGATCAGATTTGCCGCTTATTGCAAATGAGAGCCGGTGTGCATTTCAATTAAAATTGTTGAAAAGCAACAGTAGTTGTAGAAAAATGTTATGGTTTGAAGTGGTCTTTATTCCCCCAAAGAGCAGGAGTTGTGTGCGAAGTAACAGAAAAGGATTCATTGGACAGACGGTGTTGGCTTGTTGGCGTTATGCCTGGGTTATAGCGCTACACGATAATGTTAAGAACTTTGTGTTTTTCGTAGAGTTTCAGATAAGCCTTGCATTGATTTTTTTTTCTTTTGCTTTCTGCTCTCTTTTAGCTTTATTTTTAACGGGATTAATAAACGTCGGGTTTTACTCGGTGATTTTAGCTAATGATTTTGGCTTTAAAGTCTGAAGATGAGGCTGTTGCAATTTGTTCTTATTAACAGAGTTGTAGGATTGTTTCAATCAATGTGCTTTTTTTAGAAACCGATATTTGTATCACTGATTTTTTTCCGCTGCCAATGATATTGCCGTGACAGTGAAGTGTTCGGTTGTTTATCAGCAGCATTTCGTATTTTCAGAATGAATTTTTGAAGGAGGTTACGGATCTGAGACATTGTTTAGTCCTACTGTACTCTTCCCGCTGAATAGTTACTTGCTGTTAAGGTCCTCTGTTAAACCTATCTTTTTATTTACTTTTGTATAGTTAATTTTTTTTTTCTCGCTTTGCTATATTCGCTTGTTACAGTATTCGCAAAATTCTGTTTAAATCTCAGCTAAGTATTTTACAAATTATGTAACCGTTCCAATGAGTCAGTGGCGTCATGACTGATGTAGCGCAAAGAATATCCAGCAGTTTTACAGGCTTCATTTTTTTTTCACTTTTTTAGGTGGTTCAGGAATTTTTTTTTAGTCATTTCTTATCGGTCCAAAAATAATGACGTGATTATAGTTTTCAGCTAAGCACTTTTTCACAATGTGTTAAGCCTCTGTACAGAATGGCGAAGAAACTTGTCAGCAAAGGTTCTCCCTAGAATGCATACGTGCAAATGTCAGAGAGACGGTCTCTTATCCCATTCATAATCTTTTGTTGGTTTCTAATTACAGTCCACTCACCCTTGTCGTTCGAAAAGTTTTTTGTTTTAGAGCAAGGAAATTTTGTAGACCTGTTAAGTTCAAAATTCGTGTGAAACTGATCTGAACTCTGTTTTACTGCAAACTTGCCATGTTTTGCTTGCTACCGCTGCGCGTAGCAGAATTTGTTGTTGATTCGGAAGCAGTAGGTGAACAGATAAGACATTTTGAATTATGAATATATATTATGTTATTTTAGGTTCATGCGGTATTACTTCAGAAGTTAAAA